ATCATTAAAGATCTACAAATAAATAATGGAGTTAAAACAATATTGTAATGAACAATTAAAACAATATTGTAATGAACAATTAAAACAATATTGTATGAATAATTACAACAATATTGCAATGCTCTAACTCATATAGAAGAAATACCCAATGTATTAAGATCCAACACTGAAAGAAACTTCGAATTCTATATCAGATCCTATCAATCTAACAGACTTTAAACAATAGAGCTTAGCCATACTTCCCTCACTAGTGCATGTAAAGGAAACGACATCAGTTATTTTTGTTTATACGCACAATTCATGAATCGAGGTAATACAGGTGAGGCAAAAGGCGTAGCCTTTTTTGCCTCGATTCTGAACCGAGACAATATGTGGGGTCTTTTGCCTCGGTTGGTTTCAAACAGAGGCGGTAGATGCCTTTTTTATTTTTGGGTTAAATATGTTTTTTAGTCCCTCAACTATAAGCGTTTTTGGGTTTAGTCTCTCTTTCAAAGTTTGCTTCATTTTCATCCTTCTACTTAATGAAACTATAATATTTAGTCTTCGAAAACCAACGACGTTAATTTTTGAATGATTTGGCTAACGGTGTGCCACGTTTCATGCCATGTGTAGAGTTAGAAATCGCAAATGTGAGGGTTATTCACTTTGATATTAAGGTTCTTCTTTGTGATCTCTGGTTCTCGATTTTCGCTATTTGGGTTTGGACGGGGACAAAGTTGAAGGGGAAGCAGGGGCCGTGACTGAGCGATGTGGGGACCAAAGAGAGGGAAGGGAGAAGAAGAGTTTGTTTTGGACCTATGTTGAAGAAGTCAAATTCCCTCCCACGCTTTCCCGATTACGCCGCTTCATCTACCCAATCCCCCCTCCAAACACCACCATTTCCGCTTCTGCTACGTTCCTTTGTTTTTCTCCTTTAATTCCAGTTCCCCTTTCTGAAACTCCGATTCTAATTTTCTTTCTTTACTTCGCAGTTTCATCACTCAGATTCCATTTCGCACAATCTTCAACCTTACGGCGGCGACAACCACTCCCAACACCGCAATCCAAACACCTACCAAAAACCAGCTGAAAGAGACACTTGACTATTCCAACTTCTGAAATCCAACCTGAACAAGTCCAATTACAACCACGCCACCATCGTCGTCGCCACCATACACCAAAGAACTGAAACATTTCGTCACCCTGAATGATATAACTTGTGCAATCATTCCTCGAAGGTTACCCGACTCTGTTGTTCCATTCTCGTACTGTGATAAGCTTTAGGCCACTCTACGTTGTTCTTGTGACCAATGCAATAGTTGTGATTGTGAAGCTCTTTTTCCGGGTATAGAGGGATTATGCAAGAAATGGAGCCAACGAAGATGGAGACCACACCAACACGGGAGAAATGGAGGCCATGATGAACAAACAACTTCACCTAAGAGAGAGAATGGTTGCACAGGGAAGAAGAAGGAACATTAGGTTAAAATTTCTTACGACGACGGCCTATGGTGGAGGCAGCGACGACAACCAGTGTTGAAGGCACCAGTGACGGAGCGGCAAGGAAAAGATGTTCACGCGAGATGGGAAGCAGTTTGCGTTTGCTCTTTGGCAGAAAAAGAAGAGTAAAAATGTGCTTAATGTTTTACAGTTCTGGAATATAACTATCGAAGAGGCTATTACCTCGGTTATAAACAAAATTGATGTGTAAACGTTCCAGAAAAATTCAAAATAAAATTGTAAATGAAAAATTTGAAATATCTACTAACTAAAGGCCTCGGTTCGTGGTTAAATCGAGGAATAAAGGGCCTATGACATCGGCTAAAATGGAACCGAGATAGTAGAGGTTGACAAAATGGATTTGGAACGTTCAAAATCAGAGGTTGTTAGTTTCTAGCAAGACATACTGTCTCGGTTGGTTAGAGAACTGAGACAGTAGGCCTATTTCGAAAAAGTTGTCAGGGTGTTTTACCTTGGTTGGTCAGAGAACCGAGACATTATGCCTATTTCAAAAAAGTTCTCAGGGTTTTTTTGCCTCAGTTGGTCAGAGAACCGAGACAGTAGGTTTATTTTGAAAAAGTTGTCAGGTGAAAAGTCTGATTTGCAATGGGTCAACAGGGTTCTTTTGTCTTGGTTGATCAGAGAACCGAGGTAGTATACACCTTTAGACATTGGTTCGCATTAAACCGAGACATATAGTATTGCTAGAATTACGAAATTGCTACCACGTTTTTATACGTTTCTGTTTGTTTGAAACCAAAGCGTAATATGCGAATTAAAAAGTTGTTTATTTACTAGTGCTACCTAGAACTAGCCTAATACTAACACTGCCAACCACACAAATCACTTTGAAACACCTCCATCATTGAATCAATATAAAATATGTAACCTAAAACTTATGTTCACAAATTCTACATAAATGAAACGGAAATCTAACATGCTTTTAAGAACATTTGAAAAGGAAATAATAAAAAAAAAGGAAGTGTCCCATATTGCATCCCGAAGTAAGAATTTGAATGTCAATTGTTATGATACAGATACATTATAGCATAAAGAAATGAATACTTAACATGCCGACATTCACACCCATAAAACTCACCAATCACATTCCATCCCATAACCTTTCTTCAAAAGAACTTTTGGAGCAATATAATCTGGTGTAGCCATTTATTTTCATTTTTTCATTGTGCTTATCTATTTTGACTTAGAATATTTTAGTAATTGTAGAGAAAAAATAGCAAATCAAAAGGATTAATTACCTGGTGGATATTCCAACTGAGAAACTCCAGGGCTAGTTTTTGCTAGAAAGTTAGCACAAAAATTAATTACCTTCCCTTAAGGAATGAACAAAGTCCTAGGTTCAATTTCCTCTCATAAAAATCTCGAATGCTCTCAACAATAGTTAAATACAAATGAGAACTATGAACACCTGTTAAGTTTGATAGATTATAATGACTCTGAAATACATATCACGTTCAAGAATTGACAAGAAAGATACATACGTCAATTGAATTATATTTTAAATCATTTATCTATTACTTTGAAAATTCTAATTGATTCAAATGGCATTTTATTGAAATAAAAAAGGTTTTTTTTATCTAATTATATATATTACAAAGTTAATTATTTTTATAATGTTATTTAATTATAATTTTGTTAGGTTTATTAGTGTTATAAAAATTACTTTTATAGTCTCGTCAATCATGTTTTTTATTAATTCATAATGGAGATCTGTTTGCCTTATATTTGATATTTATTTTTTCTTTCATTGAGTCCTAAATATCTATGTGTTACCAGAAGTCTCTTCTTTTCAAAGATTAGGAAATAATGATTTCTTATTCTGAATGTTTTTTATCCATGCAGTTGTTTTATCAGTTCCGTGACATTTTTTTTCTACAGGAATTCAAGGCCGTTTTTGTGCAATTTTAAACATTTTAAATCCAATAATTAAGATAAAAAAATATTCTTAAAAAAATTAAAATCTCACAAGAATTAAAAATAAAACGGATTTAAATATAAATCTTATCACACTAATTACAGGTTAATTAAAATACATAATTAACCAATGTTTGAAGTTGTTCTTGTCGTGAACGTTTAGGAGTTGTCCACTCTTCGTTTTGTGGAGTTCCATTCACATTCTTGACCCACAGAAAAATCCTTTTCTTCAAGTGTATTCGATCTAATGGTTTACAAAGTAAAAAATCTGACAATTTCAAGTAACCGTATCTTTCAAGTAACAAATTGCCCTGGTTTGATATCCCTGTAGCACAAAATATTGAAGAGACACACTTATACTATATAAATGATTAAGTTTGCTTTAGTTTCAAACATAAACACAAACAAATACATGTGGCTTCATACATCAACAGTTTTTACAATTAGATCCTTTTTAAATTAGTAGCAAATATGTAGTAGCATGAATATGTCCGATTTTCCGCATTGTAACAGTATATTCTGGAAATTACCTCAGTTATACCAAATCAATTAAAAGATAACCCTGCATAAAAATTTAAATGTGGAATACAATAGAAATCGGACTTCTCTCGAAGTAAATGAACAAGTATATTCATACCTGTGTATATAATTGTGTTTATGTATAGATTCAATAGCCAGAACAGTTTCTCCAACATAAATATGATTCCATATGTATAGATTCAATACTGCATAGATATGATTCCACTGTGAGTTATGTAGCTAGTATTAGAAAGGAGAAACTGAGTGACGACAGAGAAAGTCATAGTTGAAAGATGAAATCAATCAGCTCTGAGATAACTGCCATCTAGCTAGTATTTGTAGACACACATGAATTGATTCCCTTTACTGAGAGATTATTGACAACAGTTTTAAAAAAAGAAAGTGTGAAGAAGTATAATAATTTTCTTAGCATTCCAGTTATTTCTTTACCAAATTTTTGTAATTTCTTCTACTGTAAAATTTGTCTTTAAATAAAGTGTAAAATTTCTTCTACTCCTTAAGGCACTGAGCTCTCGAGATGCCAACATCTGCTCTTGTCGCAACAGCATGTCGATTTAGTGATGAGAGAAACCTTCTCATTTAACAAATAAATAAGTACAAAACTGTATGGAAGGCACAGGCTTATAAAAATCTTGAGTTGGGAAAATATGACAGCAAAAGATAGAACTACTTTATCTTTTTTTACTCTGTTTTACCAAATACAGCTCAATAATATTGTTCACAGGATTTTAGCGGAGATTCTTCAGCCATGCACTAAAGTAATTAACAATAAAGGCTCGTATAGATTGACATTTAACGTGAGTAGAGTAACTACTAAAATACCATTCATGATAGCTAATAAGCAAAGAACCAAGTAACCCAAATCTTTTTTCCAATCTAAACTCCAGTTTCTTAAGTAAACTATAATAGTTGATAATTGAAACAATATTGCAGGTGCTTCTTAGATCATGTTTTACCAATTAACTCAACAATGTAGAACAGAGTTACAGTCAGGAAAAAGTTCAGAGAAAATGCTAAATTAAATTTATTGGCAACCACTTACAATACCAAGTTAGCTGTTCTCAAACAATCTCATCTTTCAGAAGATCTTCGTTAACCACCCTATCATTTTTCTTTCTAGAAATAGAGCATCCCTCAACACCTGTATGATACACAAAGGTTAGATATGGGGTGGCAGGGTTAATGGATAATGGGTTTAGGATAGAAGTAAAGAGGCGGAAAGTTTGTTAGGCTGTTAGGGGGGAGAGAGAGAGTATAAATAAGCCCTTTTGGTAATTCTGGGAGGGAGTCATTTTTCTGAGTATAGACAGGTCTTGAACCTTGTGAGGGGAATTAGGCCTCCGCTAGGGCTAAGAGGGGATTAGGCCTCCATTAGCGCTATCTGTGTACTTTCTTTGAATATCAATACAGATACCCATTCTTTTCAGTTGTGATTCTTGTTTGTGTGTGTGATTGGGTTGTCTTAGTTAGGTTTCTAACTCAGGAAACCTAACACAAAGTCTATCACTTATAAGGACACTTAGAGAAGCAATCTTATTAATTTCCCGGTGTGAAAGTAGGATTAGCAGATAGGAGCATTAGTCGATTGAAACTTGTTTCTAACAGGTTTATACAGTGTGCATTTGTATCGGTAGTTAGCCTGACTTCCTATAAAAGAGAATATAAATGATCTAACGAGTCAATTATATAGTCTATTAATAATTAACATAGGAATTCAATAAAACTACCTGAAATCTTAGAAAAAAAACACGGGAATAACTACTTGTAGTACTTGAATTTGGTCAGTTAATAAGAGCTTTAAAGGATAGATAATAACATTTAGGATACATGGGTAACAGAACAAACTAGCCAAAGTCTATAAAAAGCACCTCCACCCTGAGCAAAGACACTCAACTCTAAATGCTCTATCTAGAAAACCTAAAATACAATATCAAGGTACTTTTGGCCAGAAAAACATTGAAACTTAGATGACCTCAAACTAATACATTTACTTCCAGTTCTACAGTAACTAAGATTTAAGGAACTATCTTATGAATGCAGTTTTTTTTCCCTTTTGATAATTATAAAAGAAGAAAAAAAAATGCAAAAACCCATTACTACTAAACAAACTATAAAACTTGGTATTTAAATTCTATCTCCCCATATCTCCGTTTCCTTCCTCTCTATTTCTGCTGAAACAAACATAGGACAAGAAACTGAGCATCGACATGTGTGTGCCTAATTGCAACTTCAACTCTCGTCTATTGATAAGTGATAAGTATGCAAGTGAATGTGCAATTTCTACAATCAAGATTTTAAATAGGCAAATACGAAAGCGAATCATTCAGAAGCAAGAATAAATAGAGTCATAAAAAAAAAGTGGGGACAAATTGGTCAACAACCATTCACTTCACTGTTAAAATCCATTCTTTCAGGTCACTTACCATTGAAATCAGCCGTAACATTCTTATTGCACTGCGATACACCTCTTCTGCAAACATCACAACAAACATTCAGTAGCATCCAAAGTACAGTAAAAAAAAGCATCCCTTTGCTCAATTACCCTAAAGTAAAACAACTTAATCCAACCAACTCATCACCTATTACGACACTCAATTATCAGAAAGTTTCAACTTGTAAGCAATAACGTTGTTTTAGCACCAGCCCCTGAGGCGGATAGAACCTTGAAACCCCTGTGTACACAAGCAGCAAGAAGTGCCACCTATGACATGACAAACCATGCAATGAAATTATATGTCTTTACCGTTTTCAAGCCATAACCTCAAACTCTAGATGGAATAACCCACAAATTGCAGTAATAGAAACGGTATCTACTGTTTCTTAAAACCCCTTTGGTGGACCAAAGGAAAACTGTGTGCCTAATCAAACTGTTGTTATGATTAAAAGGGAGAAATAGAAAATATCGTGGAGTTCAGTAGACATTACCTTAGAACAGTGTCTTTCGTTCACGGTGTGTGGGAGACGATGGCATCAACGGCGTGGAGGAGATGGAGTCGATGGCGTGGAGGCGATGGCGCACGTCGACGGCATCAGGCGTTTGCTCGTAAGATTGTGCGTGAAAATGAAGATGACAGGGATGATTCGAAAATGAAGTCTAAGCTTGGAATGAAACGAAGAGAAAATGAACTTATGACAGGTAAGTAAACAACCATCATAGTAGAATATGAATTCTTCAACCTGCTATAATATGTTTTCATTTTTCACCGCAATTTCATTTATTATGATAGGTATTATGATAGCTGGTTTTTCCATAATAATAACTTTTATTTATGAAACTTTTACTGTTATATTTATTATGATAAATTTCTTAAAGTAGGTCACAATATATTTTAGTTTTGTTATAAAATGATCACAGGTCAATATATCATGGTAAATTTCATTTGTCATAATAAGTTATCATGAAAATAACAGTCTAAAATTAACGAATATCTTCTTCAAAAAATCATTGAAGACATCATCCAACATCTGCCCACACCACCCCCATTCCACCTCAGTCTCCTCCCCACACTTGCAAACCAACCCAACAAATCACCACAAGTACCTTATCCAACCAATCTCTTCAAACAATCACATTCATTCCCCAACCCTTAACCATTCTACCCCCAAATCCTGAACTACCATATGACCCAGCTTCTTTTGCCCTAGTACAACACATGCATAATCTTATGGCTCAACACTCTGCCAATACTAATGCAAAACTTGCTACCAACCACCCTACCACTACCACCACCACCTTCATCTAGGCTATGATGTTCTTTCAATACCCTTTCTCATTTTTATCAAATAATTGGGAGAAAATAAATATGCTAAACACTGATAATATATCCAAATCAGAGGGAGCTAGGGAGAGTACACCCTTATTACTTTTTCAAAACATTGAACATCTATTTTGGAAATAATTTTTATAATCATCTACTCTGATACAAATTCATCATATCATCCACTCTGATTCTAATCATATTATTTCATTTTCTATGATGTTGCTTATGCATTTGCTCTTGTATACATGAAACTATGATATACTTATGCATTGCATAAATGATTTATGACTTATGGAAGTCATACATCATCCACTTTGATCATGAATAATATGCTATGATATTAGTATGACTAACATGATCAAACCATCACTATTAAATTTGCTCTAAGTCATATTTGATCTTGCCAATAAATATTGCCCACATATTTGATAAGTTTGATATCTATATCATTTAGACTTATTTGTTCTAATAGCTCTAATATATATAAACACTATCCATATATATCGTTCAGACAATGAGATAAATAAATGATCTAAAAAGTTATAATTATGCTAAGAACAACAATGTCTACATTTTTCGAAATCCTTAGACTCTAATTGACATTGTCTAAACCTTTTCAAAAACCTCATAAATATATTTCATGTGTATTTGTTAAACATAAAAACAGGATGCTTTGACTCCAAAATATCTATCCATAATCCATGTTTATCTTTCTCCAAACGCCTTTTCTACTTTCTTAATAAAGTTATGTTTTCTAAATCTCTAATCCCTAAGTCACCTTCTTTAGATTTAAACATATTTTCCTAACTCACCGTTTCAATTTTACTACAATTGTATCCCTAACCTTTGTTGTGTCATTGCCACACTGTCGTCATGTCACCACCACTCCACCGTCACGCCACCGTTGTATTATCGATGAATTTATTCATGAACTTTACCAATAAAATAAATTTGTCAGTAATTAAAATTTTATAGTCCATCAGTAAAATCCATTGATAATTAGAATTTGTAAGATCTGGAAAAATAAGGGTTCTAAAAATAAAGTAGTTTTGAGACTTTGGGCTTTTGTTTGGAAATTAGTGTGCTTAAGTGTATATTTTGCTAGAACATAATTGTTATGTTATTTCTTTATTTTTACATTTTTACCTAAGGGCAAAAGGGTTTACCTTTATTTAATTGGTGTAGAAATTAATTAAGGGTCGGTTTGGTGTTTAGAAACCCTATAAACTCTAGAAACTCAAAATCAAAAGAGAGAAAATAGAGGAAGAGACGACATTGACGTTTTGGGAGAAGATGAGAGAGTGTGACAGGAAACTCTTAGTGTAAAGGAAAATTTGTGGTGTTTAAGGATTGTAGATAAAACCTTATGATTGGCTAAGTTATGAGGAAGCTTACCTTTGTTTGCTTGATGTTGTATGTTATATGTGTTCTTGATTATCTTGATTGATAATCCTTATTTGATACATGTTTATATTATTATGATTATGATTATTTGTTGTTATTGTTGGACAAGAGTTGTGTATCCATAGGCATAGGGTTTATGTAATATTTGTCTTGGGTTTTCCCTATGAATGTATGTATGGCTTTTTGGGTTATCCCAACAAAGGGTTTGACGCTAAATGAGAACAAGTTATGATGCTTGGGGTTTTCCATGCAAATCTAAGTGTTGGGTTATTGGGCTCCTTTCCTATGTGAAAAATAGGCCAAATAATGTGAACTATTATGTTTCACTTTGTTTTAGTGGGGATGAGTCATATTAGTAGCGTACATTATAGTCATTTGAAGAGAGGGAAAAGCAAAGTGAGAGAACAAGGAAGAGAAGAAGTCATTCCTGCATAACATAAAACCTACACTGGTGTTTTCGTCGTTGTGAATTTCTTCACCGTTGGATCAAGCTAATTTTTGGATAGTGGGTTCCAGACATATGGTTCTTCATTCTGACCGTTCAGATCGTCAATTAGAGGACCAGTTCAAGAGAAAACGGCCTCGCATTAGCAGCTCTGTTTTGGAGAGTTTGATAAAATTTGCATTGGTGTTTTTGACATTATGAAGTCGTTCACTGTTGGATTGGGCAGACTTTTGGACAGTGGGTTATAGATGTATGGTTCTTCATTCTGACTGTTCGGTTCATCAATTGGAGGTCTTGTTTGGGAGAAAACAGCCTCACATTAGCAGCTCTGTTTTAGAGAATTTCCATCTCTTTGGTTCTCATTTGTAAGCATTATGCTTAGTTAGTTTGGCGAATTAAAAACCCTATTTGGTGTTTTTATTGGAGACTTTTTTGCACCCTATTATTAGGGGTATAACATGTCAATGATTGGATATGGATGATTCAAGTGATGTACTATATGTGTTTGAGTATGTTTACATGGGTATGTGATCCTTGAATTCATGTATGATGTGTTAACAATGTTTCCAGGTGATCTAGGGTTGATGTATGTATGTTTGAATGCTTGAATCATGTTTAGGATGTGTTTCGATTCGACATAAATCGATTATCATTAGTTATAATTGATTATTTGCGCGTTGATTTTGATTGTGGTTTCGAGAATAATCGATTTTCTGGGATTATAATCGACCATCCCTTCTTGCGTGATGTTTCTGGGTAAATTTCACTGATATAATTGATTATCTTAAGTGATAATCGATTATCACAGTACATTTTAGTGAAAAATGACGAATTTGATGAAGAATGGATGTGAACCAAGCTTGAAGAGTTGTGGAACATGATGATAATAAAAGGTTGAGGTTAGGAGTTATGTTTAGGGTCAATTTAACTTGTGGTTGAGAGTGGAGCATGAGTGAGTGTTGGGATGTACATGAGTATGTGATTGATGAACATGAGAGTGAAGGATAAGTCTACTTGTTGTACCTTGTAAATCCTGATTCTATCTGTAGATAGGTGTTTCCTTTTGCCTTGTGTGCATTGGAAAAAGAAGGGGAGACTATAAATGTCCTGTAGGGAAGGCTATAGGTGGGTTGTAGGAACGTCTATAGTCGGTGAGGTAGGGTACGTGAGTGAGATTGACTCTTTTCAGTGTGGTATTATGGTACAATGATGCTCATGGTGTTATTCATGACTAGGATATTCATGATGGTGTTGTATCTATGATGATGATCATGGTACTTGAGATGCTCCAGGTTATGTTATGTTGACAATGATATTACTATAATGGTTATAGTAAGTAGTTAGCATGTGTGCTAATAAGTAGATAGACCAAGGGTCTATGTGTGAGATGTTAGTAATAACATCAAGGGTTAGAGATCAAGGATCCATGATCGAAGTTCAAGGATCAGAAATCAAGGATCGACTAATTCAGTATGATTGAATTGTTTATGTTAGAGGATTAAAAATCTTATTGTTATTACTACTATGTATGAAGTTTTTGATTATGGTTGATATAATCACAAAGTATGTATCTTATTGTGTGTTTGGTTATGGTTGGTATAATCAGAAGATATGTATCTTGTTGTGTGTTTGATTATGGTTGATATAATCAGTATGTATGTATTTTGTTGTTATGATTGTTTTATCTTTAGTTTATCTCATTAATGTTTGTGTTTGTGTGTTTGTGAATGAAATTATTGGTTATGATACTTGAACCAATATTGTTATAAATATTCTAAAGACGTGATTGACTCGAGAAAAATGAGAAATAACCTTGAAATTTGTTTAAAGTTATTTTATTTTATAAATTAAGACAATATAATTAAAGTATTTCTTTTATTATTTTATAACACAAAATAATATAATTGGATTTCTTTTGAATACGCTTGCACGCTATAATAAATTTTGAACTTTAGCTATGTCTAATAATCGTGTGACATCTCATAATTAGGTGTTACAAAATTTATTTTATGGATAATTCAATAAATTTTTGTAGTGATTATACGTTGAGCCTGACCCATAAACGAAAAAATATAGCATGTTCACCTCTATTTCGTTCATTACCAGCTTATATGCTTTTTAGTTTATTTTTTAATTGCTTACGTGACTAATCCAGGTAAACCTTCTACCACAATTAATAATAAAATGGGACTAATTGATGATTCTTCTCGTCTTAATCCTTTAGTTGGTATAAATTTTTATATTGGAAATCTATTAACTGGGACAGAGATTGAAACAAATTCCAAATACCCCTTAATCCACTTAATACATTTATCTTCCGTCATGCAATATAAAAATTCCCATTTTACTAAATCACAAGCCTTTTCAACTTTCATAATGACTGCACTTTGTCTTTTCCATCTAATTTCGTCCCCAACATCATTGGCAATAACTACATCGTCCAATAATACTCTCCCCTTAATGAATGAAAGCTGACTATTTTTTATCAATAAACTTATGTAAGACCTTCTTATTTTTTTTTAA